CTAGCTGACTTGACCTTTGACCCCACATCTCAGTGAGATGACTGGATTCTGTGGGTGACATCTCCACTTGGAGGACTGGAAGCTGTCAACACTTACAGAATTGACTTGTGTCTCTCTCAAGGGTATTTCCTTCTGCTGCTCCTGGGATCCAAAACCCTTTTCTTTTTTTTTTTTTTTTTGGCAGTTGTGGGGCTTGAACTCTGGGCCTGGGTGCTGTCCCTCAGCTCTTCAGCTCAAGGCGAGCGCTCTACCACTTGAGCGCCACTTCCGGTTTTCTAGTGGTTTATTGGACATAGGAGTCTCACGGTCTTTCCTGCCCAGGCTGGCTTTGAACCGCGATCCTCAGATCTCAGATCTTCAGCACCCGGCCAAAACCCTTTTCTTTTCTTACATTTTGTTCAGTTTTTCCGGTGTTTAGGTTCACAGAGTAATTACAATTTCTGTTTTTTAAACAGGGCCAGAAGCAGAAACTGGTCATTCCTAAGCATTTTGTTGTTGTTATTTGATGCTCTAAATGTCTTAATTTCCTTATGTATGTTAATAAACTGTTTATTTGCAGTCTGCACATCCCATTCTGCCATCTGGGGTTCCTGCCGCCTCCTTCTTGTGGTGCCTAGTTTCTTTGTGTGTTTATTTTTGTCTGTGGCCACTCTCTTGTGCTGGCTTTTGTTTGTGAGACCCAGGATACAGATGGCTTCCTTCACAGGGCGGCGTATTTACCTCTCCTAGGTGCAAGTTAAGGATAGTCTAAATTGTATTCTCAGCTGAAGCATTTCAGACCACCCAGACATTGAGAATGAAGACTGCAAACCTGCATGTAATTCAGATGGAGGCTCCAAATTCTTAGGACAGTTTCTTACCCCTGTTCAGTGCTGTTTTTCCAGACATGGCTTCAATATGTGAGATGTTGGAGAGAAGTTGATGTAATAAAATCTCCATGTATTTTGGGCTGTCTTCTGCTTCCAGGGGCTTCGTAGGCCCTACAAATGCTAAGCTAAGATCCCCTGGTTTGGCAGATGTTTTAGTGTGAAAGCAAATATTCCTATTGTCCTCTTTGAAATCCCAACTTTACTTGCTTTTTTTTTTTTTTGCCTAAGAATCCCTTAATCTTCTACAAGTTCAACAAAACATTTAATATTGTTTAACAAGTAGTATACCCACAATGTTTAATTGTTCATGGCAAGAATGTCTTTCTAAGTACATAGCCAGCCTATCATATTGTTCCTTTGCCATTTTTCTTTTACTGTTACACATCTCTTCCTTCTAAATTACAAGGGGGATTGTATAATTTACGTTACATGTCAAAACTCTTGCGAATGAAAAAGGATATTTAACATTATTTAATGCTTTGAAAGACAAGTAGATTGAGAAAATCCACTTGTGTTGGTGAACCTATAAAAATCATTGTATTCAAATTTTACTTTCAAACATAAAACATTTTCTTGCAAACAGGAAAATGTCTGCAAATCAAATGAAAAAGTTAAGACTTCCCTGCTGCTGATCTGAACATTAAAATGAATAAGCAGAGTAGTTATTCGACCTGGTCTAGTGCTGCCGTGGGGGCTGGGCCACAGGCTGTGTCCCTAGCTGCAGAAGCCCTCTGGTATGGGGCCTCGGGGGCAAGTTAGGTCACTGCATGTGGCCTGGGGGTTGGCGTCAGAACCCCAGCCTCTTCCTCCTCTCTACTTCCTGGCCACTGCGAGTTGAGTCACCTTGTTCCTCCACCCGCCCGCCACCATGTGCCGCCTTACTGAGGCGGAAGGCAACTCACGGAGCAGCCAGGGACTGAGACCTCTGTTGAACCAAAACCTTCCCTCCCTCTAAGCCGATTATCTCACACGTGTTGTCCTGGTGATCAGAAGCTGACTCATGCAAATAACGTGCCAGGGGTACTATTTCTTAGATAGTCCCGTGCCATCCATTTTCCTGTCTCTGCGTCCACATGGCTGGGAGGAGTGCCACCGTGCATGGCTCGGTCTTTGAGACATTGCTCTAGAGGGGGAAAGGTGCAAGAGCCTGGGCTGACCTCAGATTATGAGTGTGTGTGTGTGTGTGTGTGTGTGTGTGTGTTCACAGGTGGCATTGATCTGCTCGTTTTGGTAACTGCGGTTTCCATCCCTGTTGGTTGAGTATCACAGTGTGGTTGAAAATAATTACAAATTTACAAGCTCCACAGCCCAGGCCAAGTTCAGTAGAATAAGTTTTTCAAGTCAGGACGAATAGCATGGGTTAAGTTTTCAAAATATCTTTTCCTGTCATTCCCCAGAGCAAAATTACAGAACTTCACGTGTTAATCTTTCATGCATTTGGAGCTCCTGATGTCCATATTCCGCGCTCTCCCGTTTGCAAGCTTTGTTTTTAATAATTACAGTTTACCACTAGCTTAAAAGCCTGTGGGTTTGTTTTGTTGTTGTACACTGATTGGCACATCAGTGGGGCTAATGGTCCTTCTGTGGCCGCCATTATGGTCTGTTTTCTTCAAGAGTAGATGATGGCACCCTTGGTATGAGCCTTCTGGGAGCTGCCCTGGAGACCGAGCTGTGAGGCCGAAGCAGGCCATGACTTGTCTGTAGGGTGCTCTGGGAGGCTGGGCGAGTCTTGTCAGGATGCAGGAATGCCTGTGAACCCATCTGAGGAGTGCTTTCCAGCCCGTGGTGGTGGCATCTGCTGTGGAGAACAGGAAAGATGAACCCATAGCACGTGTAGTTAGGCACGCGGGGAGGAAAACACTTCCTTCGATGGAGAGTTTATCCACTGGGTATTTGTACAAACATTTATAGGAAGACATCTTCAGGCTGGTGACAGGTCTAAATGTACTGGAAGAAATTGCTTCTGCCCATATAACATCATTTCATAGCTTCACCAGAAGGGGGCGCATGTGGCTTCGGGCGGCGCTGAGGTCCACGGCCATCCCAGGAGTCCAGGGAGACCGCTCCGTCGGGCCACCCCACACAGCGCCAGCCCAGCGCCAGGCTGAAGCCGCCGTGCAAGCTCCATCTGCGTTCTTTCTCTATGGGACAGGGCAAGTCCTTCCGGACTGACAGCTGCCTGTATAACAAGTGGGCCAGACCAGAGTGGGCCTGAGTGTGGCTGTCGGGAAAGTCACTCCAGGCCCATGCTGGTGACTGGGGCGCTTCCTGCTCCTCAAACCATGTCAACATCCTCACCTGAGGAGCGAAGGCTATTGCTTGGGACCAGAGACGGGGGGGTGGGGGTGGGAACAGGGAGCCTGGTCCTGACCTTGACTGTCCACAGAAGGTCATTGCACAGGAAGCCACTGGGGAGGAGCACGCATCATCGTATCGGTCCTCCTCGAACAAGCCTGTACGTGCGTGTGCCCTGCGCCCACGAACTCTGTGTTCCAGGACCTGTACCTGGATCTGACACCTGCAGAGGCAGGGAGTGGAGGCTGCTGGTCTGATGTGAGGCCACGCAGGAGGGCACCACGTGGGCGGGCACACAGGCCACAGCCACACCACCAAAAGAAGCCACGGGAACACGGACTCACGAAGATGCTAGTCATCTGAGGAAAGACACACCAGAGCCCGACGGCCAAAGGAGTGTGCACTTGTGCCATGGAGCTCTTAAACCCCAAAGCGCCTTCATCCGTTAGAAGACCAGATACTAACCCAGGTAGTTTCAACAGAGACTCAGAGCAAGGTGACACATCGATCTGCTGGCAGAACTGCCCAGCGATTCATGGGACCCCGGAGAAGCTGGCACTCCTCCCTTACAATTCCTGGGATCTGAGATGGCAGAAGTACCTGGAACAGCCAGACGGGAGCCTGCATGACCCAGATGGAAAGCACTCCCCCTCCCGTCCTGGAGACAAGGCCCAGGGCTCATCAATGCCCTCGCTGCCTGGTGGAGTCTCGCCAGGCCCCACTCACCCCCCACCCCCAGCCGAGTGCTGCCCTGCCAGACACTATGAGAAGGACTTGGAGCCAGCCCCACGCCCTCCACCGCTTTTATCTCTGATTATTTGCTGAGGGAAAGCCCTGGTATATTGTAGTATTTGCCAGCGCTGGGACATCAGCCCAGCTTCCGCAAAGGCACCTTAATGGATCCCAGATGAGGAGGAGCTTCAGCCTCCCTCCCCGAGGCTGCCTGCGGGTCGGGGGAAACGGTGCATTCTCTTCCATGGGGTCTCTGAGCTGGACGGGGCCTCCCCAGGGGGTTCAGTGGGGGACATGGACATGAGGATGACCCCCGTCCAGCACTGCAAACGCCTCGCACGCACACACCAGCATGACAGGGACCACAGCCCCGGGCTGGGCACCCTGCGGGGATGGAGGACACTTGGAGTGGAAGCGCCGCTGGCTGGTGCAGGGGGAGGAGGGAGGGGGTGGCCAGGCAGGAGAAGGTGGGACAGTGCCGAGCAGAAAGGCTGGGCGGCTCCGGCAGGCCCCTCCTTGAAGAGCCCACAGCTCCAACTGCAGCCCCGGACGTAGACCTCCACAGCCACCGCCAGCTCCAGAGATCTTTCTAGAAAGCTCGCCTTCTGTTTCAGAGCGGGTATTTGGGCTGGCATCTGTGTGTCTCCATTTATTAGGAGTGTGAATAGATTTGCATATTGTGCGAGGTGCAGATGTGACCGTTCAGGGACAGTGACAGTCACGCGGTTGCACAAATCACACATAGGTGTTCAGCACAGGTCGCCGCGGTGGCGCCGTGTGTGGCAGGAGTGGCCGTGTGCGGCAGACCCTGCGCTCACAGACCCCTGCGAGGGGACTTCTCCTTTCTACCCCGAGTGTCCTGTGCACACCCAGACATGTGGCACACCCAGTGTGGGGGCCGGGGGAGGGGGTGAGCGTGTGAACCCCGCCTCTGGACTGAGAAGCACTTGCTCAGCTGCTGAGTACGAACAGCCCCATGCTGCCCATGAAGCCGATTCGTGTGCCCCCCCCCCCCCCCCCCCCCCGCAGATCGCCCCCCGCCCCGCCCTGCCAGCACACACACACGGGCAGCCCTAACGCAGCGGAATCCCCTTTGTCCGGCAGGGAGAGCAAGCTCACCATGCTGCTGCGTGAGTCCCTGGGGAATGTGAACTGCCGCACCACCATGATTGCACACATCTCCGCGGCGGCCAGCAACTACGCCGAGACCCTGTCCACCATTCAGATCGCGTCGAGGGTCTTGAGGATGAAGAAGAAGAAGACAAAGGTACGCGGCCATGGGTATAGTGGGGTAGGGAATGGCTCAGGCAGAGCCTCGGGGGCCCCGGGCCTGCGGCCAGCGTGCGCCGGCTCTGGAGCAGAGCTTCTGCACTACTCTCCTTTCCCAGGGCTAGCTCTGCGCGTGCCGGCCTCCTCCCGCCACCCCGTCACTCCTACGTGCTGTGAAACTCGGCAGGCCAGGCCTGGCCCAGGAGGAGCATTTGGGAGAAGCATGGCAGCTGTGGCCGCTCAGGCTCAGGGTGGTGGGGGAGGATTCTCCCCTTCTTTTAATGTGCTGCTCCCTGCCGCCACCCCCTAAACAGCTTCACAGCCAGTGCTCTGTGACAGGGAGACAGCCCCTAGAGGCCAGGCCTGCCTGGACTAGCAGTTTGATTTCCTGTGAGCCTTCCGGGGGGTGTCCCGTGCTCAGCAGTCATGATATGGGACAGCGGCTCCACCCAAGTGGTGCAGAGGCCAGCCACCAGCTGACTCCACGGCTGTGTGGAGCTGGTCGCGTCCACTTGCCCAGTGGTGCAGGGCTCCCCAGGGGCCTGTGTGTGTGTGTGTGTGTGTGTGTGTGTGTGTGCGCGCGCACGCGCGCGTGTGTGCGCGCACGCATCTGTGTATGCATGTGCATGTAAGCATGTTGGTCCTAGAGCTTAAACTCAGGGTCTGGATGCTGTCCCTTAGCTCTTTCATTCAAAGTTGGTGCTCTACCACTTGAGCCACAGTTCCACTTTTGGCTTTCTGGTGGTTATGTGGGAGGTAAGAGTCTCATGAAGAGGGCTGGAGACAAGGCTCAGGTGCTAGAGTGCTAGCCAGTGAGTGAAAACAGCAGGTACCAAGCCCTAGTCTTGGACCTAAAAAAAGAAAAGAGGCCCATGGACTTTCCCACCTAGTGCGCTTCAACCTGCAAGCCTCGGATCTCAGCCTCCTGAGTAGCTAGGATGACAGGCAGGGGCCGCCGGCCCTGCGGGAGAGCTGTCAAGAAGAGCCACCGCATTAACTCTGCTCTCACCCACAGTACACGTCGAGCTCCTCGGGGGGAGAAAGCTCCTGTGAGGAAGGCAGAATGCGCAGGCCCACCCAGCTGAGACCCTTCCACACCAGAGCCACCGCGGACCCCGACTTCCCGCTCGCCCCCCTGTCCAGTGAACCCGACTACTCGTCCAGCAGTGAGCAGTCCTGTGACACGGTCATCTACATCGGGCCCAACGGCACGGCCCTTTCGGACAAGGAGCTCACAGATGACGAGGGCCCCCCGGACTTTGTGCCCATCGTGCCCGCCCTGCAGAAGCCCCGGGGCGACAGCCGGCCTGAGGGGGGGCAGGCGGCAGCCAGCAAGGCGGAAAGGGACTGCTTGAAATGCAACACGTTCGCGGAGCTGCAGGAGCGGCTGGGCTGCATCGACGGCAGTGAGGAGCCCAGCGCGTTTCCCTTCGAGGAGCGGCTGGTGCAGCCTGGGGCGGCACAGCCTGGCAGGGCCGCCACCCTGCTCCCCGAGTCCGATGAGGAAGAGGAGGAGGAGAAGGAGGAGGACGATGGGCTAGATAGTGGTGGCCGCCAGCCGACCGGCCGGGAAGGCGCGGAGCCCCGGGACTCCAGGACGCAGAGAGCCCTCTCGCCCGTGCCAGCCTCCGGGCGCAGCGGCAGCCCCAGCCCGGCCTCTCCCCGCAGCATCCCGGGCAGCGGCAGCCAGCACAGCGCCTCCTCACAGCTCGCACACAGCCCCAGCCTCCAGAGCAGCCGTGAGAGCCTCAACTCTTGCGGCTTCGGCGAGGGCAAGCCCAGGCCCGCGGGCTCCCCACGGCTGGGCGTCGCCAGCCTGTCCAAGACCCCTGAGTACAAGCCCCCCAGCTCCCCCTCGCAGAGGTGCAAGGTGTATACCCAGAAGGGGGTCCTGCCCTCCTCCACCCCGGGCAAGGATGCCGGCCCGGCCTCCGGCGAGTGCGCGCAGCAGCCCGAGGTGCGCACCCCACCTGTCGGCATGAGCCCCCAGGTTTTGAAGAGATCTGTGTCTGCCGGGAGGGAGGGGGTCCCCGAGGCCCCAGCAGCGGTGGACACGGGTCGGGCAGGGCCCACCCCAGACGCCAGCCCGGAGAGGTTGAGCGCCATGGTGACGGTACAGCAGCCGCTGGAGCTGAACGGGGAGGATGAGCTGGTGTTCACCCTGGTGGAGGAGCTGACCCTGGGCGGGGCCCTGCGGGGCGGCCGGCCCGCCAGCATCATCAGCTTCAGCAGCGACTGCTCCGTGCAGGCCCTGGCCTCGGGCTCCCGGCCCGTCAGCATCATCGGCAGCGTCAGCGAGGACCTCGAGTGCTACTCCAGTGTGGCGCCCGGCTCCGTCTCGGAGGTGAGCGGCGCCCGGTTCCGGCCCCTCCCGAAGCTGGGCCCCGAGGAGAAGGCGAGAGAGGTGGGCAGCCGGCGCTCCTCCATCAGCTCCTGGCTCAGCACGGTGAGCGCGGGCGGCGACGGAGCGCCGTCCTGCCACGGCCTCATCGCCCAGACGTGCTTTGGCCACGGGGAGGCCCTGGCCGAGCCCCCCGCCTCTGAGCTGGTCCGCGGCGCCCAGAACACCCTGGTGTGCAGGGACAAGCCCGGGGCGGGGCCCGACGGCCTGCTGATCCTGTCCCACGCCGGGGAGAACACCTTCGCGGGGACGCCCCCCCTCCGGGGCTGCGCCATCTCCATGCTGGGCCCGGCCGTGCTCACCCTCTCCAGTGCGGCCGGCCTGGGCTGCGAGGCCTGCGTCCCCGTGAAAACCAACGTCACCGCCCACCCGCGCACCGCCGGGGGCCCCCGGGGCCTGCAGGAGCCGGGCGCCTCCACCGCCGCCAGAGCAGCCCGGGCCCCAGAGAACAAGGCAGAGATGACATTCGAGGACCCCTGGCTCAAACGAGAAGAGGAGGTACAGGAAGAGAAGGGCGGCTCTCCTGGTGGAGAGGGGTCCAGGGGTGAGGCCGCCGCGGGCCCCGCAGGGCCCCAAACCAGGGCCGAGCAAGAGCAGGATGAGGAGCCGGGTCCAGGGGACCGCGGGGAGGTGTCCGTCTCCCCGGGGACAGAGAGCTTCAGGAGGGTTGCGGATGGCTGTGAGATGACCCTGCCCGGTGTGGGGGCGCAGAGCCCCGTGCACGGCAACAGAAACCTGAGGTCCAGCAGCCTTCCCCGGGCCTTCCAGAAGGTCAGCCGGCACGAGGGGCTGGACGGAGCCCCGTACCCGGGTGTGGTGGATCCCAGCGGCCCGGGCCCTGGCGCCCAGCCCTCCAGGGCAACCCTGGAGCGGAAGGGCGCCTCTCCAAAGCACTGCGTCCTGGCTCGCCCCAAAGGGACGCCCCCCCTGCCTCCCGTCCGCAAGTCGAGCTTGGACCAGAAGAACCGGGCCAGCCCACAGCACAGCGCTGCCACCGGCGGGAGCCCGAGTCAGCCCGTCACCGCCTTCCTGGCCAGCTTCCTGGACGAAGCCAGCGGCAAAACCAAGGACGCAGGCGGTGGCGGCGGCGGCGGCGGCAGCAGCAGCAGCAAGCTCTTCAGCGCCAAGCTGGAGCAGCTGGCCGGCAGGACCAACTCTCTGGGCAGGGCGACAGTGAGCCACTACGAATGCCTGTCGCTGGAGAGGGCTGAGAGCCTGTCCTCCATGAGCAGCAGGATGCACGCAAGCAAAGATAGCACCATGCCCCGGGCGGGTCGTGGTCCGGGCCGCGGCCAGGGGGCCTCGCCCCCCAGCTGCGCGGTGTCCCCCTCGGCCGGGGCCTCGCCCAAGGCTGGCCCGTCCAAGATCTCAGCCGTGAGCAAGCTCCTGCTGGCCAGCCCCAAAGCACGTGGCCTATCCACCTCCACCACTAAGACGCTCAGCTTCTCCACCAAGTCCCTGCCGCAGTCCGTGGGCCAGAGCACCCACGCGCCAGCTGGCGGGAAGCCCACGTCCTGGTCCACGCAGTCACTGAGCCGGAGCCGGGGCTCGGGGCTGGTGGCCAAGCTGCCCCTGCGCGCCGTCAATGGGCGCATCTCGGAGCTGCTGCAAGGCGGCGCGGGCCCGCGGGGTGCACAGACGCGGGCGGGGCCCGAGGAGGGACGCGGGGCGCCCGGGGAGGACAGGCCGGCCACCGGGCACCTGCTGCCCTCCCCCTACAGCAAGGTGACCCCGCCGCGGAGGCCGCAGCGCTGCAGCAGCGGCCACGGCAGCGACAACAGCAGTGTGCTGAGCGGGGAGCTGCCGCCGGCCATGGGCCGCACCGCACTCTTCTACCACAGCGGCGGCAGCAGCGGCTACGAGAGCGTGATGCGGGACAGCGAGGCCACGGGCAGCGCCTCCTCCGCCCCCGACTCCACCAGCGACAACAGCAGCTCGCTGGGCAGCCGGTGCCGCAGCCTCAAAACCCCGAAGAAGAGATCCAACTCAGGTAGGCTGCGCGGGCCGGGGAGGAGGGGCGTGGAGCCGGGCGCCATCACCTGGTGGACGCTAGGGCTGGCCCACCCCCTGCTGGTAGGCATGGCCGAGGAGACCGGTGCTGGCACGCCGAGAGGGCAGCTGGCAAACCAGGAGCTGTGGGGACACAGGACCTGGCTCTGCCCCGTGTGTGCCCGCCCGCCGTGCACACACGTGGAGTGTGCTCTCTGTTAATGGGCCAAGAGCACCCGGTCCGGAGCCCTCCCTGCCAGAGCCCTCCCCAGAGCGCACGCCCCGCTGGCTGCAGAGACCCCAGTGTGCGGCCAGGCCGGCAGTGCAGGACGGAGCACTCTGTCTCCGGAGTGTGGACGGGACAGGCGCGTCCTCTGTCCCCGCCCCAGGCTGGTGGAGACACGGGGCCCACGGGGGCCTTCCCCGCCACAGTGCCCTGAAGCCACAGGAAGCTGTCGCCAGGTCCGTGCTCTGCCCCGCACAGCTCACCTAGAAATCACTGACTTCTTCCTTGGGTGCAGTGTGACGTGAGGCAGAAAGATAGGATGGACAGGGAGAAAAGGACCCCGAGGCCACCGGAGCCTCCATGGGATGTGGGGGAAGGAAGGAGGAAGAAGAGGAAGAGGAGGGGAAGAAGGAGGAGGGGGAGAGGGGAGGAGGGGAGGAAGAGGAGAAGGGGGAGCAGGGGGAGGAGAGGAGGAAGGGAGCACCAAAGCGACAGACGCAGAGGACGAGGAGCCCTCCAGGCCATTGCTTCTGAACTGGCTTCCCAACAAATTGTCCCGGCTTGTTCTGCTTTATTAAACGTTTATGAAACAAAATATTACCCTGAGCCCACCTGCAGTGGCGGCCAGCAGCCGGGAGGGAGGGGCTGCTGCCCCCTGGTCTGTCCTGTGCCATTGTGTGCACTGCCCTCCCTGTTTAGGGCTAAAGGGCAAGGGTGCTCAGGAGTGGGCCTTCCCTTTCCGATGGTCCAGCAGCGGTGGGGACACCACCATGCCACCTTGAGGGACTTTGCCACTGCAGGAGTCCTGACGTGGACACCCCCGGCCCCGGTCACCGACGTGGCAGTGGACAGCCCCGCCCACCCCAGTCACAGATGGCAGCAGACAGCCCCGCCCACCCCAGTCACAGACGGCAGCGGACAGCCCCGCCCACCCCAGTCACAGACGGCAGCGGACAGCCCCGCCCACCCCAGTCACAGATGGCAGTGGACAGCCCCGCCCACCCCAGTCACCCCAGTCACAGACGGCAGCGGACAGCCCCGCCCACCCCAGTCACAGACGGCAGCGGACAGCCCCGCCCACCCCAGTCACAGATGGCAGTGGACAGCCCCGCCCACCCCAGTCACCCCAGTCACAGACGGCAGCGGACAGCCCCTCCCACCCCAGTCACAGACGGCAGCAGACAGCCCCTCCCACCCCAGTCACAGACGGCAGCGGACAGCCCTGCCCACCCCAGTCACAGACGGCAGCGGACAGCCCCTCCCACCCCAGTCACAGACGGCAGCGGACAGCCCCGCCCACCCCAGTCACAGACGGCAGCGGACAGCCCCGCCCACCCCAGTCACAGACGGCAGCGGACAGCCCCGCCCACCCCAGTCACAGACGGCAGCGGACAGCCCCGCCCACCCCAGTCACAGATGGCAGTGGACAGCCCCGCCCACCCCAGTCACCCCAGTCACAGACGGCAGTGGACAGCCCCTCCCACCCCAGTCACAGACGGCAGCAGACAGCCCCTCCCACCCCAGTTACAGACGGCAGCAGACAGCCCCGCCCACCCCAGTCACAGACGGCAGTGGACAGCCCCGCCCACCCCATCCCACCCCAGTCACAGACGGCAGTGGACAGCCGTCCACCCCATTCCAGGCCACAGACACGGCGGTGAAGATATTTGGTGCTAAGCAACAGCTTGGCCCCTTGTGGCTGTCAGTCTGTCTGTCCCCAGCCCTGTGCGGCTCCCTGCATCTCACCTCAGCCGCACTGGGCTGGGGGGCCGGCTCCTCCCCCGCTCAGGCCTCGGCACCTGGCAGGTGCGGTGGGCCAGCGGGGCAGGTGCGGTGGGCCAGCGGGGCAGGTGCGGTGGGCCAGCGGGGCAGTGGTGTGCTGGTGTCATCACCAGAGACCGCAGGAGCGTCTGCCCAAGCCAGTGTCTGTGGGGGAGCTCCAGGCCTTCCCCGGAGTTGGCTGGAAGACCTCTTCAGCACGCTCCAGTGCTGGCTCCAAGCTGCAGGTGGCGTGTGGCCGTGGCTTGTGGTCATGCAGTGTCAGCACCTCCAGGTAGCCTCACGGAGCCCATGAATCTACCGAGTGGCCCATCCTTCCATGTGCTTTACTCTAAGACTTGCACCGATTGACTTGACTGCTCTAGTGAAGTAAAGGGGACGGAGAAAGTATGGGGGGCCCAAAATGTGTAAAAGACCCCCTCGGGGGGCAGGGGCCGGCCGAGCCCGCGGCTGTGCAGAGCTGAGCGCATCCCGAGCCGCCATGCTGAGGTGAGGCTGAGGAGCCAGCGAGCTCCCCGGCGGGCGCAGGGCGGTGATTGGCTGCCTGGAGCGGGTTCAGGTCATGGTGGCATGCGGGTGTCCGTGAGTAGTCTCTGCCTTCCAGAGCTGAGCCGCTGCCGGCCTTGGTGGGGTGTGTCCTGGTTTTGTTCTGGGACTCTGAGGAACACAGAGGCCATGGCTTAGTTAAAACCCGAGGCGGCTGAGCTGCCTGCTGCCCCATGCAGGATGTCCAGTGTTTCTATTCAGAATGAGGGCACTGCTTTGAGGACAGAGTAGGGGCGTGAGGACACCGACACCCTAAAGAGATCAGGGCCGAGAGTCCCGCACAGCCCAGGCTGTCTCTGGGGACGAGGTAGCCGGGAGTCACCCACCATGGCTCATCCCCCCCAGAGAGGTTGTCCGGCTTTCTGTAGGTCAGGAAGCCACAGAAGCCACGCCCACTGGGCCCCAGCCTCCATCCTCCCTGAGTCCCTGCTCCTCCCACACTGGTGTTCCTGGTCTCTGCCCCGTGAGCATGGCCTGGGCCAGAGTTTTGGTAGGGATGGAAGCATTTCCCCCAGGGAGCCGGTGGGGCCTCAGGTGCCGGGGCCTAGTTCCTGACATGCGACCTGAGCCGCAGCCTTGTGCGGGGTTCCGAGATGTCCAGCAGGTCAGGCCCAACACCAGGCCTCTCCTCCGGGTGTCGCAGGGCAGACCACCAAGTAAGGTAGCCTCCCCAGCCCCCCACTTTTGTCTGGTGGAACACTGGGTCTGAGGAAGCTCTTCCTAGTTCACGATTGTGAGGCTTTGGATGCCAGAAGCAGATACTCGCCTTGCCTGCAGTTGATATTTCTTATTCTCATAGATCAGGGCCTGCACTTGATTAGAAACTCTGTGTGTGTGCGCGCGCGTGCGTGCGTGTGTATAAGACCGGGGGGAGGGGGGGAAGATGGGGGAGAGAGTGTTTGCATGAGGTAAAGATCTGGGCTGTGAAATCCTGAGTTTTAATGTGAGGTTAAGGGAGCTGAGCATGCAGCTCACCCAGCACCACGGAAACAGCCACTGACTGCCCCTCACCTCCCGTCTCGGCCTCCTGCAGCTTTCCCCGGCCCTCTCTGCAGTGGAAAGGGCCTGGCCTCTCACTCTGAGCCGAGCAGTTCTGGCTCTTTCTTCCTGAGGTCATTCAGCCTTCCCTAGCAGATCTGAGTTGGAGAAGAACAGTTTCTGTCTTTCTAGAAGTGCTATCAGGCCACACAGGCCGCCGGCTGCTGAGCTAGGGCGGGACGGGCAGGAGGCCCCCTGAGGGGACTGAGCGGGCGCTCGGTGTGGTGTTGGTTTGGTGCCACTGAGGGCACTGGGCGTTTTTCACACATTTGTTGACCGTGCATATGCTCTTCTGTGCGTCTGCTCACATCCTGCCCGAGTGTAAGTGGATTATGTGTATCTTCTGGCCGTGAATCCTGTCAGAAGTGTAGCTCTGAGCAGATGCTTTCTCCAGTTCTAGAAGATGTCCCCTCACATGGCGCGTGCCCTGTGACAGAGGACTCCAGGACAGCGGCTTCTCGGGAGGCAGGCCTCCCCTGCGCGCTGACGGGCTCAGCCCAGGGCTGGGGGGTCTGGACAGGCAGACGGCCATGGCGGGGGCAGCGGAGCAAAGCCCCTGACCGCGTGGCCAAGAGGGAGGCGGGAGCTCCCCCCCCACCCCCCGCAGTGAAGTAACTTCCTTCCACCTCAGCAGTGTGGCGGACCAGAGACCGGTCCTTCAGCTCGTGGCCTTGAGTGGACATTCAGGGTCTGCTAGCAACGCCCTTTGTGTGCGACAGTTTGAACTCTTTATTCTTTTTGTGCCTTAGCTTCCTCTTCTGTGAGAATTAAACGGGATACAGGGGCACACAGGCACAGTGGTGCTGCTGTTGCTCAAGCACAGTCTCGGGAAATCCTACAACCACAGCACCCGCGCGGGCCCCTTTCCCAGTGGAAGCACCAGTACCGCCTTGTGCCACAGATCCCTGCTGACTGTGCACGTGGCCCGCCATGGAAGCGGTGGCAGGGCTGGTCACAGGTGGCACTGGGAGGTGACCGAGGGCGGGGAGAGAGGGTGATTTTACTCGGTCACCCTGGGTCAGGCCAGCCAGTGGAAGCCATGGAGGGCAGCGTGTTTATGAAGCGGGTCTGCTGTGGAGTGGGCCAGAGAGCGGGTACTGAGCTGGACATTGGGTGCCAGTCCAGTCCACAGGTGCTGGGCTGGACGTCAGGTGCCAGTATGATCCACGGGTGCTCGTCTGGTCTGCGGGTGCCGGGCTGGACGTTGGGTGCCAGTATGGTCCACGGGTGCTGGTCCAGTCCACAGGTGCCAGTCCGGTCCACTGGTGCTGGGCTGGAATCGGGTGCCAGTCCGGATGGCATCCTGATGATCACAGAGGCTGTAAATACTGAAACGGTGTCTTGTGTCTCCTGTGCCTCAGGTTCGCAGAGGCGGAGGCTGATTCCAGCGCTGTCCCTCGATGCCTCGTCCCCGGCCAGGAAGCCCACGGCTGGCGCCGGGCTGCGCTGGGTGGACGGCCCTCTGCGGGGCACGCCAGGGGGGCTGGCGGAGCCCTTTGAGATTAAAGTCTACGAGATCGACGACGTAGAGCGCCTGCAGCGCCGGCGGGCCAGCTCCAGCCAGGTGAGGCCGGTGACCTGTGCCCAGGGGCCAGGCCTGCAGCCCGGGCTCCCCAGGGAGCGTCCACGCACGCCACAGAGCCAGTTGCAGTGTGGCTCTGGAGGGGCTCGGCCTCCTCCTAAAAATAGCCCCCGCATCCACCGGCTCTTCCTGAGTTCAGAGGTCAGCTCTGGAGTGGAGGCGGGCCTGCAGGCGTCTCCTGGGGCCAGTGTCTGCCTGGGGGCCAGGAATGGGGCAGGGAGGGTGGAGGCTCTGCAGGGTACGGGCACCCGCTCACCCCCGAGTCCGCAGCCAGCTTCCCCGCCCAGACGCGCGGGGCCTCGCTCCTCACACTCCGACCGCTCTGTGCCCAGGAACTCATGTGCTTCAACGCAAAGCTGAAGATCCTGGAACACCGGCAGCAGAGGATTGCCGAGGTCCGAGCCAAGTATGAGTGGCTGATGAAGGAGCTGGAGACAACCAAACAGTATCTGATGCTGGACCCCAGCAAGTGGCTCCGTGAATGTAAGGGACCCCACTGTGTGGCGGACGGACCGTGCCCCAGGACCCCGGTCTCTGGATGGACAGTGTGTGTGCCAGGTCTCGGTGTCTGGCGGTGATGATGGTCCTCCGGGCTCTCCAGGGCAGGTGGACCACATAGAGATGGGCGGCCATGTCCTTGGGCTTGTCCCTGGAGTCGTGCTGCTCCTCCTGAGCTGTGGGCCTGTGGTCCACCTGCTCCCAGGCCACACACTTGTCCCTCGAGGGCCACACTCGAGATCTGACCTGGTCTCGGCAGGTTGGGGTGTCTGGGAGCCACGCAGCAGTCCAGCATGGCTTCCGTGTCATACACAGCCGCGGCGGCCTGGTCAGGCAATGATCACATTTCTCCTCAGTTGAGAGGAAGATTCAACTGTCACCCCCCCCCCCCCGCCCGCCCCGCCCATCCCCCAAGGGTCTTCTCCACTGGGTCCCCCACCCCGCCCGTCCCGGCCTTCTTCATGTCCGTGAGTTCTCCCAGCTCCTACGACCTTGGTGGGCTCTCAGGACTGTGACCGGTGCGTGGCCCATCCTGCCGCGTGGGGTTCAGCCCTCGTGGCTGAGCCCCCAGCTCCATGCCTCTGTGCTTGCCTGCACACTGCTGTGCGATCTCGGGTAAGATGCTTAACCCGGGAGTCCTGATTTCCTGGCCAGGCCTCCTCCTCAGGCAGCCGTAGGCCGTGGTCAGTGGTCAGCTGTGTTGGTCGGGAGCCTCCTCCGCGGCAGGCTCGGGAGGAGGACTCGAGGTCCGGTAGGCATTGTGTAGGATGATCTCCCAGTTCGTGACCGGGTGTGGCCGCCAGGGGTGCCTCCTTAGCGTCAGCTGGCCGTGCCCAGACAGGTCTCCTTTGGACTTGTTCCATTCGGGGAGCCATTAGCCGGAGTCCGCCGTGGAGGCTACGCTGTGCGCGTCTCCTCTCCATGGCGGTGCCTGCCCTGCGTCCCGCGCGCTCCCGCTCTCTGGGGCGGTGTGTGCCCGAGGCAGACCTGGACGTGGTCTTCAGCCTCCACAGCCCCAGCTTTCTCTAGGATGGGAATCTCAGGGCATCTGGGTTCCCAGATGCTTCAGAAGCAGCCACCTGCCCTGGCCTTCGTGCTGTCCGCAGCCTGGGGGTTCTCTGGGAGGCTGTGTGGAAGGGGCACAGGCAGAAAACCCAGACAGCGCCAGCGCCGACAGACCGCTGGCGTCCATTTGTCTTTCCGGTTGCTGTGAGCGAGGCTGCCCATGCGCCTGCGCACACTGGGTTCTGTTTTGTACCCACCGGATGGGTGCTCAGGCCCCCCACCCCACCATGCCCCGCTGCCCTGGCCTCGGCCGCGGCTGGCTGCAAAGCCAGACCACACCCGCGCCCGCGCCACAGGGAAGTGCTCCCGCTGCAGCCCCGAGGCTCCATAGCATGGGACAGTTTTCCCCCTCTGCTCCTTGTTTCATTCTTGTCGCTAACACAGGGCTGACGGGCCGGGCAGGCTGGAGATGGTATCACCTTGCTCTTAAGGAACGGGTGCTGGCAGAACTTGGGGGTGCAGAGCCAGTGTGGCCCGGCTGGGACTCAGCGGGCAGCGAGCCCGGCCGCTGAGGGACAGAGGAGGCTGACCCCGCCACCGGCCACTACACGCCATGTTGGCTGGAGTGGAGGCTTCCCGGTCCCAGGTGTCAGCCGTCCTGACCTTGGGACTCTCCATGATTAATATGGCTCTGGTTTATCATCCCCCCCATAACCGTGAGCGTGGAGTCCGCGTGAGGATGCGCCGAGAGGCAGGACTGCTGCCTGAGGGGCCTGAAGGGTAACGAGGTCCCCGTGTCACTCAAGCGAGACCCCCGGAGGGGAGCTCCCTGTCCCCCGAAGCCTGCCAGCTGCGGCTAATTGGGAAGAGTGGAGGGGCCCAGGCAGTCTTCAGCATGGGTCAGGAGGTGCAGGGCAGGTGGAGGGAGGGTGAGGGCAGCGGAGGCCCGCGGGCCGAGGCTGGAGCTCACAGAGCCTCTTCCCCTCTCACGCAGTTGACCTGGAGCAGGTTCTGGAGCTGGGCTCCCTGGAGTACCTGGAGGCGCTGGAGTGTGTGACCGAGCGCCTGGAGAATCGGGTCAACTTCTGCAAGGCTCACCTCATGATGATCACCTGCTTTGACGTCACCTCCAGGCGCCGGTGAGGAGGTGGGGCCGGCCGGTTCCCAGGACGTCAGACGCCACCCCCGGCGCGACCCGGGCGCCCAGCGACGGCAGGACAGACGGAGGACGAAGGTCGGTGGAAGTGTGGATGCGCGTGGAGAGGAAGGCGGATTGTCCCTTGTTTTCCGTAGGAAAGGTGCAGACACCAAACCCACGCAGAAGGAGAGAGCCACGGGAAGCGCGCGGGACGCAGGGGCCCCGCGCGGGACAGAGAAAAGCACTTGGAGGAACCATGAGGAGTGCGTCTGTGCGTGGAGCTGCCGGTGTGGATGTGGCCGCGTGCGTGGAACTCCCGGTGTGGACGTGCCGCCGCGGAGACGCCACGCCAGGACGGCCCAGAGTGACGGATCAAGTGCCTTGCAAACCTTTACGGTTACCAGCCGTCTGTCCGTGTCTGTGTGCAGATGGTGCTAGTCAAGGTGAAAACCACGAGGACTGAAAGCCCCACCCTTGGGACTTGTGCTTGCGGCTCGTTTTCTCGGTGTTTTATCCTATTTCTGACTTGATGTTTCTAAGTAAGTTGTGTTTGTAGAACGATTTCCTGACCTGTGTTGCGTACGAATAAATGTCGACCATCTGTTATAGTGCCTCTGACAAGGCCGCTCAAACGGACGCGGGCTCTGGTGCCTTTCCAGAGCGGGCTCGGCGGCTGGCGACCCTGAGTCTCCCCACGTAGCAAGTCGGGGTGGCGGAGGGGTGGTCAGTGCGATTTTGCGGCTGCCCCGGGGGACACGGGGTCCCGGGGGAACAGCCGGCCTCCCCCTGGTGCCGGGTTCTCATCACCTCATAACAAGTTTATTTTCCTTTGGATCCCAAAGACTCTGGATTGGAAGCTTGGGCCGGTTCAGCCAGTGACGTCAGTGACGAGGGGCGGGGCTTCAGAGCAGCGCCGCAAGATGCCAACACCGCAGGTTTAGGACAAGGAGCCACGGGAAGCTGTCCCACCTGGACGCCAGGGCTCGCCCCCTCCCCGCCACCCCTCCGTCATACAACCCCGGGCGAGCCGCATCACGCAGCTGCGAGCTCCGTTCAGAATCCTGCACCTGTTACAACGGAAGCCACGGCACGCAGCCCTCGGGACACTGCCTGGACCCTGGGGACCCAGCGTCCTCCCCCCAACTGGGAGTGTGCTGGGGCTCGCACGCTTCTCACCCTGCCTGCCCGCAGCACCCCACCCCCCACACACACACGCCAGGCCGCCACGCTGACTGGCCCCTCGGGCCCATGAACCAGCGTGTCCATTGGTCTGCCCTCCAGACCCACAGGCCGCAGCCCTTCCTGTGACAGCCGCTCAAGGCTGGCAGGTGCCTGGCCCCTGAGTGGGCACGGAGGGCCGCCTCGGGGACCAGAAGCCAGCGCGGCTCCTGTGGGGCGGGCCTGCGGCCCTGGAGATGGGCCCCTCCCCACCATGCCACCGCCCCAGCCCTCCCTCACCCGCCTGGGCCTCCGCAGCCACCCAGAGCTCCCGTGCACGGGTTCCTGCAGGCCCCTGGGCCTGAGAACCACATTCCCCTAGGTTCGAGTCTGCCCTTCGACATCCCTTAGCATCGCTGATCTGAAACACACCTTAGTTTTGATGGGGGCGGGGGCAGGTCAGAGGTGACCATGCTGTGGATGCTGTGGAAATGCTCGTGTAGTGAGGCATCTCTGAGCTGTCCCGGGCGAGGAGCCCAGCCGGACGCAAGCGGACAGAGCCAGCTGCCTCCTGACAAGACCCGCCGCGGACATTGCAGACAGCTGTGCGGTACAGGAGAGGACAGAAGAGCCTAACCAAGCAGAGGGCGTCCCAGGGGGCCACGTGGCCGTCCCCCGGGACCCTGTGACTGTGTGGTCTGAGTGTGGAGTTGTCCCCTGCCCCTTCCCTCCCTGCCCTTCCCTCCCCTCCCTGCCCTTCCCTCCCTCCCTACCCTGCCCTTCCCTCCCTGCCCTTCCCCCTCCCCTTAGTCACCCAGATGTGCTGCAAACGACCATCTTGCTTCAGCGCGCACCGCCTTGTGGGCAGAGGCGAGCACGGGGCAGTGTGTCCCTGGCCCTGCTGTTGTCTGACTGCACTGAGTTGGGGCTCAGGGCGCCCGTCAGCAGTGTGGCGGGTACCTCTACCCGAAGAGTGCCCCCTCTGGGGCTCCCAGGGGATGATGGAACCCCCGGAAGGCAAAGGTCTCGTTTCTAGTGCTCCACAGAGGAGAGAGCCACGCGGCCGGCTGGGTCCTGGCTGCTCCCTTGGGAGGCGGCTGAACTCATCTCGGCCACTGCTGTCATCCAGGGAGCACAGAGCCTTCCACGCACACCGAGGTGCCAGCTGGCCGCAGGGCCTCCAGTCACGCGTGGACAGGAAACCCCTCGGTGTTCACCGGAGTGTGTGTGCCCGGCCACTGTCTCTGGGCCTCAGGGTCGCTGCTCCGGGTCTGTCTGGGCGGCCGCTGCCAGGCCGCCCTCCCCCGTGGCAGGCAGGGCTGCAGCCCACAGCCCCGCGCGGCGGGAAGCTGCGTCTGGTGCCAGTGTTGTGGCAGGTGTGTGGTCGTGGGCATGGGAAGAGCTCCGGCCGGTGCTGTGCTGCTGCCCACATGTGCGGCCCGCTCTGGAGCGTGCACTGCACGCCGCTCACCAAGGCTGCTGTCTTCAGAAGTGGGGTCCCGCGTGCAGGTCTGGTGCCTACTGAGCCATGCACTGCCAATGTCCCTGGGGCATGCCCTCCCGAGGCCGGGGACAGCCCCGCACCGCCACAGCAACGCTCACAGCGACAGCCCCGCGCCGCCACAGCAACGCTCACAGAGAGGCCGGGGACAGCCCCGCGCCGCCACAGCAACGCTCACGGAGAGGCTGGCGGCCGCTTTGCTGCAAAAGAAACAAAGCTCAGCCTTAGGGCCACGGCAGCACAGGACTGTGAGCAGAAATACTGTGTTCCTGGTGCTTTTTCCTCCTCTGGAAAGTTACCATTTGCAGTACACACAAACACGCACACACGCACGCACGCACGCACACACACACACTGTGCCACTCAGCAATCTTCCTGACAAATAGCATTTCTAAATTGAAAACTTAATTATTCCCCACTAATAAAATCAGAATTCCCACTCGGGATGCTATTAAAACTTTGATCAATCCCCAAAATGTTTGGTTTTTCTGTTGTTTTAAATTCCAGAGCTGATCTGTGTGTCCCTGCACAAAAGGCGTTATGCTTTTGAGTGGCCCTGCCCAGACCTGAGCCAATTGGCACAGACTGGCACAGACTGGTGCCGGGCAGCATCCACCGTACCGGGTCACGTCGCGCCCAGGCTCGCAGGCCCTCCGGCTGACAAGCTCCAGTCACAGCTCGGAGGGGAGCTGAGGACATGACGGGCAGCAATGCCGTGTCGGAGTTTATTTACACACCACAGTTGGAAACAGTTGGAAACACGTCCCACCTCCTCCTCTGCACGGAGTGTGAGCGCGTGGACCGTCCGGGGCTTTTTCTGTTCTCACTCCCGCAGTCTCCGTGGAGGCCGGGGGCAGGAGGAGGGAGGAGCAATGCAGGAACAGGGCAAAGGTCCGGCCATGGCTGTGTGCAGCACCTCCACTGCTCCTGGGGAAGCTGAAGGGAAGGCAACGAATGTGGCAATGTGTGGAAGGCAACGAACGTGGCAATGATGTGTGGAAGGCAACGAACGTGGCAACACACGGATGGCTATGAACGTGGCAATGCGTGGAAGGCAACGAACGTGGCAATGCGTCCGCAGCCTGGTGAAGAGTGGCCGCAGCGCTGAGCAGGGGCTCGCGCCTGTGCCCCGCGGCCCTGGGCCTGCAGGAAGGCGCCCGGCAGAGGCCCAGCCCAGGGTTCTGTCCGTGACTCCCCGTCCTGGGGGACCCAAGCCATCGCGTCCCCTCCCTGGGTCCCCAGGGGAGGGCGGGCTGGGCTGAGAGAGGCCGCTGAGCGCACAGAGCTGGTGCCCGGCCTGGTTCCATCCCTGGAGGGGTGGCACAGCACCCCTGGGGGCTGGTCGCTCTGCTGCCCGGGGCCTCGCCGCCTCTCCCCAGGCCTGGGTCACCCCGCGGGAGGCTGGGTGACGGTGGCGCCCTGCGGGAATGGGAGGAGGAAACGAGGTAAGGTGGCCGCGGTGCCTGGGTGGCGGGGAGAGGCAGAGGCTCACAGGCCCTGGCCTCCACCCAGCGTGCCCGGGAGTGTGCCCTCGGTGCCAGCGTGCGTACGTAGGTGGATGTGTGTACGGGCAGGTGACAGGTGGGAAGGGGCAGGGCAGGAAACCCAAGTTCCAATTCCAGCTCCGACCATAGTGCCCTGTGGCCCTGGACGTGTGTGACGGGCGTCTCCGGAACTCAGTTTCTTCTCTACGAGATGCGGATCTGCGCGCCGAGCTTGGTGGGTTGTGTATGTTATATATGTACATATGGCTATGCTTCTGTGTGGGAAAGTTGCAGACAAGGCCTGAGTGTGTCAGAACCACAAATTCACAGGCAGGTATGCACGTGTGTCAGAATCAGCAAACTACAGACAGGCCCTCAAAACCTTGTTTTCTGGATGATAGTATTGGATGTCCTCATTTCAAATTCACCATTTAGCTGGATAGAAGATGGGTGCTGTTTAAAAATGTTTAAGTTCTTAGCTCATAAGTGTTTGCTGTTAATTTTTTTTAAAATAAAGCTCATTCGTTACAGTCAGAAACTCTCCACTTTGGTGACAGGCAGGTCTGGCCAGCCCGGTGCAGGCTGGGTTTTGTGTGTGGGTCTTTCCAGAGCTATAGAAAAGCCATTGGCTTGATCATGATAAATAGGAGCAGACTACCTGGAGGAGAGTCTGAAAAAGGTTACACAGTTCTCATGAGCTGCTGGTGTGAGTCTGTGAACCGTGTGCCATTCCTTGGTGTGAAGGCATTATTTGCTGGCTGTGGAGGTGTATAATGTGGTCAAAAAAAGAATCTGGTGTTTAAAAGACTCAAAGTACGGTGGCATTAAACGTTCACGTTTGTCTACTCAGTCGCGGGTCTTCTCTGTCTAGTTTGTCCTTCGTCCCTCTGCCTGGGGAAAGCGAGTCAAGGCGAGGCTGCGGGCCTCGCAGCACCTTGGCCTGGTCTGAGCCCTGCTGGTCCCTGAGATGTCCAGGGACAAAGCCTGGCCCGTCCCAGCACGGGCCGGCCCGCACCTCGCCCCGCAGCTCGGCCAGGAGCGCGGTCACCGCCAAGTGCGTTCAAGACCTAGTCCACTGGGATCCGGTGGGGTATTTTTGGTGGCCTACAGATCCTTCCCGGTTCCCGGTGCCTGGGGTCACACGGGGTCAGCCCGGGATTGGACAGACACCGCCAAGGCTGTCCTGGTCCCGGGGACGCTTCCTCCCTCCCCCTCAGCCCCCTCCCCGGAGCAGCTGGTGCCGCCCACCTCACTGGGCAAGGCTCCTGCTCTGTGACCACCCAGCACCCGTGCCACGCAGCTCCCAGGCCCTGGGCAGGGCCTGCCTGGGTCACCCCGGCAGAGCCTAGAGGTTTCTAGAATCCGAGCCTTCAACTGGGAGGGGAGGGACTAGGGACAGGGTCACGGACAGGGTCGCCCCTCACGGTGGCGGGGCCTGGCCTGTGTCCCACCCTGTCAGCTCAC